CTCTCAACTGCACACAAACAAGAGATCCAGGGGTTTCTGATGGTAGCTGAATGTGTATAAACAGTGACATGTGCAAATATATATACATGTACATATACATATAGTGGATTAAAGTTACTCTGGCACAATTATTGTGCACTACAGCATGGCTGAGTTTTAAATCTGAATGATGTGCTGTGAAAGGTAACACCTCGATTGCTGATATGCTAGCTTCAACCTGTCAAGTTCTGGTCCACACCTTTTAGTATAAATAGAATCCATTGGTGTTAAAATCAYCGTCAGGTCTTTTTAAACCCAAAGCTCTATTTTTTTTAATCTTTCACTTCTGTGTCTTGTCATACTTTGGGATGCACTTTGTTGTGTCCATCGCAGCACCCTMCGTGTTCAGAGCTCAGTCTTTGAATTTAAAGCCAGCAGAGCTGCACTTAGTGTGTCTGAAAGGTGTTTGTGATAACTATCATTTTGTGTCATTTGATGCATGTTAAAACAGCCCCCGCAGCTCAGACCTGTAATACCGCTGCCCTTCGGATGTTGCAGTGTTTTCATTAGGGCTTGCCGAGGCTTATTATGGCCCCATACAGCTCTCTTAAGACGCACCACAATGTCTGACCCCAGTGCTGAAAGGTTGTTGTTGCGTTTGTGTTTCCACACCTGTCCTTCAGAAACAAGCACCTTTTTTTTGTCCAGCAAATAAGATGTTTGCCCGCTCACTTGTGCACACCTCCTTGATTTATACGTCACACTTTGAAGTCAGACCAAAGGCTCTTTCCYACCCACACGTCACACCGGAGCTGACTGATCTGAGTAATGCAATGCCGCGTGTCTGAAGATAAAACACAAACGTGATGTGACCGACCCCACTAATCTTTGCTCTGTTGACTGGGCAGCTTTTAACCTGAGCTCATAACGTGCTATTATACCCTTCCCAACACCCTTCTTTTGTTTGTTTAGAGCGAAAACCAACARGCAAGTCTCCAGCAAAACCAAACCCATCTAAAAACTGTGCAACAGCTTCCTTGCTYTGCAGGAAGAGCTTTAATCGCAGGAAGCACACAAACTCAGGAGTCTGCAGGTCACTGAGCCGTCCAGTAGCAGCAGTGGATCATCAGGTGGGAGGCTACAACCAYAAAGAAGGCTTCATTAGTCGAATTGAGATCCGATTAGTCGCCAAGTTAAGAACCATTAAACTGAAAGGAACACTTATCCCACCAAGTGACAGGAACTGTGGGAGACCAGATAAAGAAWTGTTGCTGAATGTGTTTCTTCCTGTTGTGCTCTGATGTTTGCTGCAAACTGATTAGGAGCCCTGCGTGTTGAAATATGCCCAACATTTCCCTTGTTGTTTAATTTTATGTTCCCACTTCCTGTCAGGGGTACACAATTCTTCAAGCAACYGGGGAGGAAACGTGAAGAGGTCCTCATGATGATTTAAAAGTGTCCAGGGACAATCTGGAGTTCCAGGTTTTGGGTTCAGAAGAAGGCCCCTGGAGACATTTGGCAGAAATCCTCCCTGCTTGAAGGAGCAGGGTGGGGGTCTGGCCCTGGAACTGGTCAGTTCATCTGAGTGGGGACTAATGAAAACAAATGATCTGACAGGGTCGGGAGGTTGAGATCAAGGCTGAAGGATCCCCCTGCCCCTCTCAATTTCCAACTTAGGAGATTAATGAAGGCAGAAACAGTCATTTCTCTGTATCGTTTACCCCCTGAGGCTGCTGAACCTTATGGCAGCAGTGTGCGGCCCACCTGTTGGCCCATTAAAGCCTCATGACACTGAACCAAAGGGCATCCCCCCTTATGAAGGGGGTTTGTAARGTCTCTGCCCAGTTCACAGAACAGAAAGCAGCATATTCTGTTAAAGAGYCTCAAAATGTCCCTCAAGCAAAGAAGTCCTCACCTGCATGAATTTATCAGAGTAAATAAATAGACTGGTCTCTTCTGTGGTGGAAAGTTCTGCAACCCGTAGGGGTATTATGAAAATGCTTTTTGAAAGCTTGAACATTTCAGATAATCTCAGAAAACAATGCTTTGTTAACTTCTAAATACAACAGTTTTACAAATATGTTTAAATAATACAAAACTATAAAAATCTCTCCAGCAGTCACTGTGCAGGAGGTGAAGGGTACAACCTGAACAGG